AGGACCTGTAAAATTTTTTTCTAGACATAGACGACCTGCAGAAGGTCTTCCAGCCGCAGAAGATCTGTTAAGGGTCTTCCGGCACAGAGGACCAAAGAAGAGCGGCAAAACATCTTCTGCCCATATAAGACCGGTTTTCTAGGCATAGACGATCTGCAAAAGTTTTTCTGGCCAAAGAAGACTTGAAAGGGGTCCTTTAACGTGTGAGGACAACTTACAGGCCTTAAAATACTTGAAGACCTGTTGCGTAATTTAACTATAGATGATCTGTAAAGCTATAGAAGACCTGCAAAAAGTCTTCTAACCATAAAAGTCCTGTAAAGGGTCTTTTAGCCATAGAAGACCTGAAAAGGGTCGTTTAGCCCAAGAAGACCTGTAAAGGCTCTTCTAGCCATAGAACCTGTAAAGGTTCTGTAGGCTGAGAGGACCTGAACAAGGGCTTTTAGCCATAGAAGTCTATTAAAAACTCTTCTAGCTATAGAAGGCCTACGAAAGGACTTCTGGACATAGAGGATTTGTAAAAGGTTTTTACAGGTTTTCTGTAATAGGTCTTTTAGCCTTAGAGGCCTATAAAGGGCTCTCCAGCCTTATAAAAATATTCCTTTTAAAATATTCATCAATGAAATGATTAATTCTAAAAATCATATGTTTCTGTCTCTGCTTTCGTCATGCAACCCAGCGAAATATGACGGTTCTAAAAATTCCCACGCCAATATGAGTGCTTCCAAACCCAAAGAACACAACTGCAACAACATCGAATACTGTTGCGGGGGAAGGAATCGGAAACAGGCAAAGCATAAATATTAAGACAATTGTCTGAACGGGACGCCAAAGTCAACTGAGCTGAGAGACATTGTTGCTGCGTACGTGTTGCGACGATCTACAACAAATCGACCAGGCAAAACGCATAGAAGGATGGCGGATGTACGGATGGATCAACAACCAACAGATCTTCTTGCAAATATTTAATATTCTGCGTAAATGATAAATAAAAATTGCACACTAACACGCGAAGTTGTTGTGTGCAGATCACTTGGTTGTTAGTCGGCTCTTGTAGATTGTTTGTATGTATGTATGTTCCTGAAGTTCCCCTTGCAAATGCCTGTGCTTGAGCGTAAACCCCCACCATTCCAACACTATATCAAGAAGACATCGGACGCTCTGTTTTCTTTTTTTTTAATGCTCCGAAAAAGAATTTGTGGGTTTCATTGTCGGCTGGCGGCACTCAAAGCCGAAATAAGCCAACAAAACCAAACATTGCCCGGCTGATGCTGCTGCTTAACTTTGTGGTTATTGCCTTTCATTGACGGCTTTATGGGCTTAACAGCGGAGAGGCAAACAACACCATGTTCGACTTATGTTTATTTGGATGAATAAATAAAATATGAATTCCATAACAAAAACAACAACAAGAACAAAAGTAAAAAAATGTAACAAAAGTTATGTTTATTGTTTATTTTAAAGATCTCGATCTGGTGGCTGGTTCCAATTAAAATGAATACTTAAACTAAATATTATTTAATTATAATATCTTCCAGCATCTGGATGTAGGGGATTATTTTAATCTAATTTTTGTATACATGTTTTCTCTAAATGAATTTGTAGGTTCTGGTGAGATTTTTTCTTGCAATGGAGCACAAAAAATATATAGCAAATTTCTACTTCAAAAAGAATTAGAATTTTTAGTTCAAATTTTCAAATCCCGCCTTATTATTAACCAATCCACAAAACTTCGAGTTTCTACCCCTTCTAAATGCGACTGAGAGAAAAAAATCATATTTTTTTAGATTTTAGGTAAATTTTATATATGTGCTAGCAAATACCCGCTGCGTCGTATGCGGAAGGAGGATTTTAATATTAAGTGAATTTATGCTAAGAGATTTTTTACCCCAAATTTCAATACACATTCATTTTCGATTTCCAGCTCTATTCCTTTCTAAAATCCCAAGTTTAATATCAATTAGTACTATTTTGGATTACATTTCCAAATCGACCTCCATATATCAACCCTACCCCACAAAAAGTGATCTAAACTTGAAATTTCAGATTTCCAGTTCTGTTTCTAAAATAAACATCAAATTTAGAACTATTTAGTACTTTTCATACTTTTTTGTACGAATTTCCAAAAACACCACTCAACCCTAATCTCAATTTTTTGATTTTAAGCACTGTCTGATTTATACCATTTATTAGCTTTCGTATAAGTGTATTACACATCTCCAAAACCACCAGGGTTCATATAAGACCCTATTTCCCAGACTTGCTTCTCACACCGAATTTCAAATGTTTAGTTATTAGTTATTGAAGACCTCTAAAACGTCTTCTAGCCATGGAAGATCTGTAAAGATTTTTAGCCAAAGAAGTCCTGTTAAGGGTTTCCTAGCCATTGAAGACCTGCAAAAGGTCTTCTAATTATAGAAGTCCTGTAAAGGGACTTCTAGTCATAGAAGACCAGTAAACGGTCTTCTAGCCATATCTGACCTGTAAACGGAAGACCTGTAAAAGGTTTTCTAGTTATTGGAGACCTGTAAAGAGTCTTCTAGATATAAAAGTCCAATAAAAGGTCTTCCAGCCATGGAAGATCTGTAAGAACTCTACTAGCCAAAGAAGACTTGTAAAGGTCTTCTAACCATAGAAGACCTGTTGAAGGTGTTTCAGCCATAGAATACCTGCAAAACGTCTTCTAGTCATAGAAGGCCTGTAAAGGGTCTTTAAGCCATAGAAGATATGTAAAGAGCCATTTAGCCATAGAAGACCTGTAAAAGGGTCTCCTTGTCATAGAGATTACCCATAAAGAGTCTTCGATAAAAAAAATCCAAACTTCAGAATTTATATAGGTTCAAAATAATGCAATCCTACACTCCAACAGTAATCTTAATTTCAAATTTTAAGGTTAAAAATCCAAACTGTACCAAATTCAGAACACATAAGTACGAATTTCAGTTTTATCGGAATTCCAGCATTCCACAACTACAATTTGTACCAAGTTCGGTACCATTTAGTACACATTATACAGACCAATAGAAATCTTATTTTCAAATTTCAGAATTCCAGCTCTATTGCTTCACCACATTGTCAATTTTTACCGAAATTGGTACCATTTAGTACACATAAGTACACATTTTCGTAACAATCTGCATCATACAATCTCATAGAAATCTTATTTTCAAAATTTCAGAATTCCAACACTATCGGTTCCACAAAAAAGTAACAAAACAATAAATAAATAAAAATAAATTGTACCAAATTTAGTACCATTTAGTACACATAAGTACGAATATCGAAAATGTCCTACATACTCCAATCCAAAAAGTTATTATATTCCAAATTGTCAGAATTTCAACTTCCCCCGTTCCCCCGAAATTTTTAAATTGTACCAAATTAAGTACCATTTAGTACACAAAAGTGCGAGTTTCCAAAATTTCTTACATTCTCCAATCCTACAATATTTGTTGTATTTGTTACTCCAAAAATTTAAATGGTACCAAATTGAGTACCATTTGGTATAAATTACCTACATACCACAGTCCTATAATGCACTAATAATTTTATTTTCAAATTTCAGTATTCCAGCTCTATCGATTCACCCAAACTCGAAATTGTACCAAATTTAGTACGTTTTAGTACTTTTCGTACTTATGTACAGATTTCGCAAACTACTTCCATATTCCCATCCTACACTCCGCCAGTAATGTTAATTGCAAATTTCCAGGATTTCAGTTCCATCCGTTCCTCCAAATTTAAATTGTACCAAATTTAGCATCGTTCAGTACACACTTCCAAAACTACCTTCTTACATCGACCCTACTCCCAACGTAGATTTCCATTCCAAATTTCAAGTTTTTAATGGTCCGAAATGGTACAATATGAGGTATATCATTTTATTACTTTTCGTACTGTTATAGTGCGAATTTCCAAAAACACTTTGGTTCATCCATCACATTCGCCATCAGTGATCCGTATTCTAAATTTAAGAATTCTAACTCTAATAGTTCGCCAAATACAAAGGGTACCCTATTTAGTTCCTTGTGGTACTTTTCGTACTATTCAAATATGCAGCCTTTTCTGACACCTTTGGACCAATAGTGACTGTTACCCATAATTCAGTCAATTACTTTACTCCTTTTTTATACCCCGAAATGGTACAAAATGTAGTGCGAATTTCCAAAAACCCTTCGGTTCATCCATCAAACACTCCATCAGTGGTCCTCATTCTAAATTTAAGAATTCTAACTCTAATAGTTCCCAAATACAAAGGGTACCCTATTTAGTTCCTTTTGGTACTATTCGTATCATTCTAATGTGAATTTCCAAAAACCCAGCCATATTTGACACCATCGGAACAAGAACCCACAGAGGGAATATATTTTTCGATACGGCCAAAACGAGCCTCATCGAAATAACGATTTTAGACCCTAGGTCTCTGTGGGCCAAATCTGTTTCAGGACAGTCGTTCTAGAGGTGTCTGTTCCTCCATCTGTTTGCCTGGCTGGTACGCACAATAACTCTCGAAGGGAGTGTCCGACTTTTCGCAAACATAATACGTTGTAGTATTTTTGTCAAACTTAGATCGAGTTCGGAGATGGGTAATTTTGGTCCATTCCTTCTGGTACCTCCCCTCTAAAAAAAGTTCGGAAATTCCACAGAAAATAATTCCCGGTATAAAACAAGAAAATATCATAAATTGTTTTGCGAGTGCTAGGTCAGTTGCGAAAATGGATAATATCGACCATATGTACCTCTCATACACACAGGGTCAAAATTCGCCATAAAAATAATTCTTAGAGGCCATGCCTTTTTCTGTAAAAATTCTGGTTTCCATAGAAGCACATTTAATCCCAGAAGAGTCTCAAACAATAAACCTGAAACAATTATCGATCGCTCAAAATTATTGACATACATTTGGAAATTTTATTTTGCAGATAAAAGGTAAACACAGGTGTTTTCCCATAACACGTAGCAATGTTACGTCTTCTACCGAAGCTAATATTGAAAACAACAAAATTTTCCAGTTCGTTTCAAAACATCAGCAAATAATGTCTACAAAAATAACTAGACTGTTCTTTGTTTCTATGGCATTTATCTTCTTTGGTGACGTCCAAGCTGGAAATGACGATATAATTTCGAAATTGGCCAAAATCATTAGACCCGTTATTAAGCATGATAATCCCGTTTACATACCCTATTACAAGGCCCCCTATACCATGCAATTGAGAATTGGCTCTGGAGATGTTATATGCGACGGCACATTAATACGACCCCAATATGTCTTAACGGCAGCTCATTGTCTGGATGAATATGATGGCTCGGAGATAACTGTTGTCGGTGGAGCCACAAAGAAATCGGATATGGGTATAGAACGTAAAATATCCAAAGTTTTCAAACATCCTTTGTATAATGCCTCAAATTGGCACAATGATGTGGCTGTGCTGAAATTGGAAACCGCCATGGTGGGGGATCGCATCCAACCCTACACCGAGTTGTGTGACGCTCCCTTGGAGTCAAATGATTTTATTTCCATTAGTGGATGGTTGAGACCAAATTTAATTGGGCCACTGATGAGAGAGGAATTGCGTAGCAATAGATTCCCAATTCTCTCACAAATGGATTGCATTCGTGACGCTCCGAATGGTGAAATGGCAATTACCAGCAGCATGTTTTGTGGCAATATTTTGAATCATGATGCCTGTTTACATAATTCTGGAGGACCAGCCATATCGTATGGACAAGTTTGTGGTATTGTCTTGGGCGGCAAGGCATGCAGTGATCTAAAATTTCCGGGAGCTTATACCAGCGTCTATGAAGTTCGTGATTTTATTTTGAATGTTATCGGAGAATAGTTATGTCCATTTGTAATGTTTTTGAATTTAATGAAAATAAACTATTAAAAATTCAGAATTCAAATTCCTCATTTGTCATCTTCTGCCAAAATGTGTTTTAAAATCATCAAATAGTTTCTAATTTCAGGGATTGTTTAGGTTTAAATTTCAGAAATCCTGAAGTATTTCTTAAATTTCAGCATTGAAATTCCTATTGACCTAAATATTGAGCTTCAGATACCAGGGATGGGAATTTCAAACTGGGTAAGTCAAAAGCCGCACAAAATAAGTGACTTAATAGTACTTTATTGGACAATTGTAAGGCCTTACTCGATTTATCCATTCTGTTCCGAGAGATTTTATTTCTCAACTCTCTATTGATTCACCAAAGGTCTTCGACACCTGAGATAGGAATTTAAATCTCGCAAATCACAAATAAATGAATGAAGAAATAAGTCATTGGTACTATTTTGGTCCATATTGGTCATTCGCTTTTAGAAGACCCAGAAGGATTTATCTGCTTACAGAAATGACTTCTATGTAAAAAAGACTAGGAGAACACATTTCAGGTATAGAGAACATATATAAGGACCTATAAAAGTTCATCCAACCTGTAAAAGGACCTGTAACTATAAGAGGTATTGCAAAGGTCTTTTAAAAATAGAATGGCTTTGAAATATTATCAATCTTTAAAAGCCCAGTCCTTTGTCTACTTTTTAAACAGGCATTTCATCTCTACATGCCTTAAAGAAGCCAATCTATTAACTAGAAGACTTCAATATCTTTCAGATCTAATATTTATAGAAGAAGGTGTTGTAGTCATAGAAGACATATGTAAGACTAGCAAGTGCCCGCTACTTTGTCACCGAAAATCCAGGCTAAAATTGTGCATCCGTTTCAACAGTTCGTGTTAGGCCTCTTTAGTACTCAAAATGTACAATTTGTCCGATTTGACAACTTTTTTTTTTTTTTTGTCGAAACCTCAAACATCAAACATTTTCACAATTTCAAAGTTTTATATTTTATTCAGGTTTTTTTCTTTTTCGGAAAGAATAATTGGAAAATGTTTACTTTTTTCTCCAAAAAGCTTTCAAAATCTTTCTCTTTGAAGTTTTCCGGGGAGGATTTTAGTAAAACCATTTCAAACCCAATGGACCCACACCTATTTCTTCTGTCCAGAATTATTTCAAGGTCTCCCTATGTAAACGCGAAAAGCTAACAGGGACCTCAATATCAAATTCCATGATTCAAGTTCTATCCATTCACTCAATGGCAAATTTGATACCAATTAGTACTTTTCAAACAATCATTCCCAAATCTACCTCCTTCTATCAAGGCTATATATCTCCAGTGGCCTCCACAAAATTTAGAATTCGAGCTCTATCTTAAGACCCAATCCCAAATTTATTACCATACTTTTCATATAGATATACCACGTGTGTCTGAAACCACTCCTTCTTTCTACCCAAGAGGCACCACGTTACATTTTGTGGCATTTTGTACGGTCATTAATTATTTTAAAATCACCCCCTTCTCACACCAACAGGGACATCTATATCAAATTTCAGGATTCCAGCTCCATCCCTTTACAGAGTAACAAATTTAGTACTATTTAGTACTTTTTAAGCAACTATAGCACACATCTCCAAAATCACCCCCATATCTCAAATTTCAGATACCAACACAGACCCCAATATCAAATTTCAGGATTTCAGCTCCATCCCTTTATTCATTATAAAATTTAGTACCAGTTAGTACTTTTCCCATAATCATGGTACACATTTCCAAACTACCTCCATATCTCAATCCAAGGCAACATCGATATCAAATGTCGGGATTGTAGCTCGACCCCTTTACCCAACGGCAAATTTAGTACCATTTAGTTATTTTCGTACAAATATAGGACGCATTTTAAATCATCGCCAAATCTCAAACACAAATACCACCAGTAATTTAAATATCAAGTTTCGGGGGTGTAGATCGGTTCCATCCACCAATATTTAGTACCATTTAGTACTTTTCGTATAGTCATGGTACGCATTTCCAAACTACCTCCATATCTCAATCCGAGATACCAAAAGAGACCTCAATATCAAATTTCAGGATTGTAGCTCGATCCCGTCACCCAACGCCAGATTTAGTACTTTTCGTACAAATATAAAACGCATTTCCAAACCATCTTCATATCTCAATCCCAGATAGCTCAATATCAAATTAAAGGATTTAAGCTCGATGATTTCACCTAATATCAAAATTTAGTACTTTTCGTACAAATATAGGACGCAATTGTAATTTGATCCCTTCACCTAATAGTACCATTTACTTTTCGAACAAATATAGGACGCATTTCCAAATCAACCCCAAATCTCAATCACAGATACCATCAATAATTTGAATATCAAATCTCATAATTTTATCTCCATACCTTCACCCAATACCACATATAGTACCATTCAGTACTTTTCGTACAATTATCACCATATTTCAATTACACATACCAACGGAGACTTCAATATCAAATTTCGGAATTTTAGCTCGATCCCTTCATTCACCGCCAAATTTAGTACCATTTAGTACTTTTCGTATAATTACAGTACGCATGCCTCAAACCACCTCTTTATCACAAACCTACCTCCAATAGGCTACCCAATAGAAAATTTCAAATTTCCAGTTTCATCCGTTCACCCTAAACTAAACTGTTTCAAATTTAGTACCATTTCGAACATTTAGTACACATTTTCAAAACCACCTTCATATATCAGAACTTACTTTCCAACCTTGATACTCATACCAAATGTCAAGTCTATAGCTCCATCCGTTCATATAATACCAAATTATACCATTTTAGAAGTTTAATCCCATTTTAGAACTTTTCGTAACCTTAAAGTTCGAATTTCCAAATACCCTTTGGTACATTTATCCTGCACTCCATCAGTGACTCTCATTCAAAATTTCGGAATTCTAGCTCATTCCGTTTCATCCATTCAAAGTATTATATTTTTAGCATTTTTTAGTACTTTTCGTACCATTACCATACTTATCACACACCTACGCACCTAGACTGACATTCGTGAAAAATTTCCAGATTCCAGATTCATTCATTCATTCTCTAGTCTGGGCATTGATTCTCGATCAGTCAATTATTTCACTAGTCTTTTATATTATAGATAGAATATCCTCTATAGACCGAAAAAAATATCTTTAGCCGATCCAAAGACAAAAGGAAAGATCCTCCACCTATTTTATTGTCACAGAAGCCCCTTTGTATATGAACAGCCCATAGAAGGGGCTCTATGTATAGTAGACCTATAAAATATTCTCTCCTATATAATATATGGAAGCTATAAAATATATGTAATAGATCCCATTTGAAAATGTAATCTACTACAGAGCGTCTACGGAACGTCCTCTTTAGACACAAAAAAAGGCCCCCTCATAAACATATATTAAGTCCGCTATTTCTAAAAAAATTTAATAGGTTTTTTTTCCGAAGATGTCCCATACGTCATGTGCCTTAAGAAGACGGCTTCGATAAAGTCCGCCAAACAATTTTTTTTTTTTGAAAATCGATTGATTTGTACCCTCAGCCTTATGACTACAGAGGACATTTGGAGTCGATCTAGAGGCGTCCGTCCGTCCCTCTGCCTGGCTGTCTCGATTTGATCCAAACTTGGTACATCGTAATATTTTTTTAAAACTTGGATCGAGTTCGGATATGGGCAATATCGGTGCACTCCTTTTGGTACCTCCCTCATAATAGGTAGTAAATTTCCATGAAAACAATAGATCGTATAAAACAAGAAGATATCATCCAATTATGTTCAAACTTTGCAAATCCCAATATTGTTAAAATTCGAGTTCGAATATCTTAAAATTTCGTACATCTACCCTTGTAACTTCCCCACAACGGGTCAAAATTTTGAATAACTATATAAACAATAATAAGTTTCCGGTTCCTTTTAAACTCGACACATGCTATTGTTTCTATCAATATCTTGTCCGAAGATGCAATATATCAGTCCAATCATTCTCCCCACAAAGGGTCACAAAAGTAATCCTCCTATCAGAAAATGGTATAAATTTCACGATTGGCCTCTAATGTCTTAATTACAGCAAAAAAATATCTTTTAGATTAAAGCAACAACAAACATTTTTTCATGCTTTTATTCTCATTTATGGAATGCTGGTCATCTAACCTTTCAGACTCTCATTAAGAAAATCAAGGACATTCATGACATTGGTAAAAACGGCCGGTTTAATTTCATCCCCCTCATCAGAGTTCAGCGAAACAATGCCACATAGTTCGCCAGCAAAAATCCCTGGGCCGCCACCATCAATTTCAGAGACATCATGATTACCATCAAAGGCACACAGGATATTCTCACTCTTACCACCCCCGTTGGGGCACAACTCCTTGGCCAAAACTGGAATACGAATGGTACTGAGGACATTTTTTTCTGGTTCCGGATCATCTTCGTAGATTTCATCCCATCCCGATATTTGCAATAAATCTCCAGATTGCAAAGGTTCCGAGCAGAGATAAGTGTTGCGTATGTTGCGACCCTTTGGAAGAGGCGAATTTAATTTCAAAACCGCCACATTGTTGCCCAAGGGATTTGTGGCATCGAATTCGGGATGCAGAGTTAATTTTTCAATGCTTCGTGAAACACCTTCCTCGGAGAGGGAACTGGCTCCAGCAACCACATTGATGTGTTGATAATCACGATCCAAGAAACAATGAGCCGCACTTACCACAAAGTCCATGGCGACCAGGGTGCCACTGCAAAACGTCTCACCCTTCTCATTTCGAAGTTGTACCAAATATGGGGCTTTGTCAATTGCTATAATATCGCCATTGATAATCCGAGATGTTCCAATTTTCGTTGCCCTTCTCGCCAGAGCTGAGGTTAGGAAAAATGTACAAATTAGAAATAATTTAATGCTCATCCTCTTGGTGGTGTTTGAAAGACTGCAATGTGGAACGGTAACTTCGGCGAAGATTATTTTGATTATTTTGAGAAGCAGTTGTTTAAATATTTGAAATGCATTTCGTGTGGTTAAATAAAAAATATTGTTTTTATGATCGAGAACATCATAGCCGAATATTTTGTTTCATATTTAAATGTAAAATTGGTAGAGTCGGGATGGGTCGACCACTTTATACCCTAAAACACTATAAGTTGCAGTAAATAGTAAGTTGTGAAATAAGTAATGGGTTTTATCCTTCTGTAGAGCTTTCCAAAATTGACATCGTAAAGTAACCTGTAGAGAGGCAGAAAGTTCCCCTATTCCATGTTTTCATATCCTACAACACTAGGTGTTGGGGGTATTATACGTTTGACTGGGTCAAAAATTATGTAACACCTCGAAATAATGGTTCCCGACATAGGAAACTATGTATGGATCTTCCTATCTCGCCGGGCTGAGTCGATATAGCTATGAACGTCCGTCTGTCTGTCCATGTTAATTTGTAAGCACTATACAGGTCGCAATTATGGCTCGATTCTCACGAAACTAAAAATGTAGGTGGGTTTAGGGTCAGAATAGAAGCCTATTGTTTTTAGAGATGATTGCACAATATTTAGGGGTTGAAATGGTCCAATGCACAAAAAATTCCAGATTTACAGTTGCTCTACAGGTCGCAATTATAGACCAATCGTCCCGGAATTTAGCATGGGGCTGACCAGCCCTATAGGTCAGAAGCCTGGATACCTATCAGCACGACACAGAATGTAAATATAAGGAATATATCCCTTGTAAAAACAAAGGGAATATTTGTGCAGGACAGTATTGCATTACTTCAAATAATCGAATAAAATGTGTTCGGATCTAAGGAGGTTTTCCAATATATTATAGTGTTGTAGGACATCAGATGGTCGGCCACGCACGACTATAGCCTTTGCAGGGTAAGATAAAAACAGCAACAAAGTCAAACGCCATAATTTTTACATTTTTTAGGTTTTATTGAATGAAAGCCAAAAATGTCGGAAATAGCATCAATTTTTAGAATAAGTTTAGATTTGTTCGAATTGGTCACCTTTGGCACGAATTATGGCCTTCAAACGACCAATGAAACAGTCACACGCTGACCGAATGTTGTTCTGCGGTATTTTGGCCCATTCCCGGCGAAGCGCTTGCTTGAGGTGATCGACACTTTGATATTTTTTAGTGCCAACCTTGCTTTCCAAAATACTCCAGACACAATAGTCGAAGTCGAACGGATTAGGATTTTGTAACCAATTTGGGTGGCCACTGCGATGGTGCTGAGTCCTGTTGGATTGCGTGCCCAAGGCTTTAATATTTGGATGACCAGTCGCGTGATGTATGGAGCAAAAACTGGTAGAAGTTTCGACAACGCAGTCTGACCGGAGACTATTCTGGTGCCGTGGGTGTCAGGAGCCCCTAGATCTGTTGATCTAGCCTGACTATGGAGATGCCCCTGTTTTGGGTGCAAGGCGGTGCTTGTGGTTTATATCCAAATCGCGGGTAGAGCTTTGGCTCGATGTGGTGTTGCATTTCTCAACCGGGTGCTGCGTCCCATAGAGCAGCAGAGGTGTGAAATAGTCCTCGAACTCTTACCAAGAGGGAAATGAAGCCTACCACTCTCCAAGAGAAATGGGTAATTCCAAAGGGACGCTAGCTGACGCATAGAATAGCGACCCCTATGTAATGGTGCATTATGGCTGAAGCCGTCAAGGCGATAATTATGTAAAACACCCCGACATCTCCCTCCAGAATATTTTCGCGATAATATTCGGCATTTATTCTGATGCCACGGTCGATTAATACGAGCTGAGAGCGACCATTGGCTGTTTTGGCGGCCCACACTATCACCATGGTCGGCGCTTGAGTTCTGGTGGCCAACCGAAGGTGCACATTTTTAGCTGAAATCTTTTGCATTTTTTTTTTATCTCACCCTGTATATAAAATTTTGGAAGATGGAGATACAGTTTTAGAGCGCTTTCAAAACGCCAATAAATGTGTCTTCTTTTTCTAGTTCAATTTTTTGCTAGCCTTACATAGCATTACCATACCCAAAAGGAACTAGAAAAATTCCGAAAAGTTTTGACAAGGGTGGGGGGGGTGTGTGTGGTACTTAGCCTTTTTTCGTAGGATATTTAGAGATATAGACTTTCAGAACGCCTTCTATAGTTCCATTTTCATAATTCCTTCGTCTGATATCTGCTTCAGGATTTAAACGTTGTTTTTTTTTTTAATTTGTCGAAGAATTAACAGATATTTTCACCGATATTTTCAATTTTCGCAACTGACCTAACTTTTACACAAATATATTGTAGGGTACCTACAGATCCACTCAATTCTCTATATACCCTTAAATATTTATTCCAAACAACATAAAAGTTCGCCATAAAATATAAAACAATGAATATTTTTTTGTGTTTTGACGGGAAGTCACAGGTGTTTTGGATTCAGAATAGCATAGAACTCGCATCGAAAAACAACAACCCCCAAATCGCTAAATAACGAACCTTCATTTCTCTATTTGAGCTTGAAAATGCGTTTACTTGGAGTATCGCTTTCTGTGGCTGTTCTCTTACTCGTCTGCTCAGCCACTCAAGCTGTGTGGAGGCCGCCAAAGGTGCGCCTGGTAAATGGCTACAGTATTCCCATTGAACAGGCCCCCTATATTGTACAGCTAAGGAATACCACAAACACTCACTTCTGTAGCGGCACATTGGTAACGCCGAAACATGTGGTGACCGCCGCGCATTGTTTTGATGAAAATAGTACCAAGGGTGTAAAAATTGTGGCTGGAGCCAATACTCCCAAGGAGATCGGAATTCAAAAACAGGTTGTAAAGGTAACGTTGCATCCTAAATATGATGCCACAACCTACGATATGGATGTGGCTGTTTTGGAATTAAATGAACCAATAACTGAAGAGAATCGGGTTCGTACAATCCCATTGTGCGGTGCACCCATAAGGCCTGGAGATGTAATCGATGTCCCTGGATGGGATACCCCCACCAAAGATTATAAATTTAACTCCGATAGTTTACATACTGTTCGTCTGAATGTTATATCTGAAGCCGCTTGCACCTATAGATTGGCCCATGACCCCTATGGTCTGGATAAATCAATGTTTTGCGCCTTGACTTCGGAGGAGGATGTCTGCAGTGGAGATTCTGGTGGACCAGCCGTCAGAGATGGCGAATTATGTGGCATTATTTCATGGGGTCATGGTTGTGCTGAAGATTATGCTGCCGGAGTGTTTATTAACGTGAATCTGGTGCGTGATTTTATTGAGGCAAATTTGAAAATGTAAAATTCAAAAATAAAATGTATTTAAAGTGAAATGCAATATCAGAATTTTGTGAGAGTTTTGGGAAGATGGGTTGTACGAGGAGCAGTGGGTCAAAAAAAATGGAATAAAACGTAACACGTGGGACGAATTTTTCCGAAAATGAAGGACCGATATTATCCATCTCCGATCGATACAAGATATTGCTATGTACAAAATGGGGACAAAGCCGGATTCACCCTTTGAGCAAAGAGAGAGAGAGGAGAGAGAGAGAAACTAAATCGACTCCAAATCTCCTGAATAAAATTTTGACAAGACTTATTTCGAGTAGACATATTTTGACCGTATCAATATTATTTTAGCCCCGGTAGTCATTTGGCTAAGGGTATTTTGATCTGCAGATGAGTTGTAAAATCTTTATGTGGAAGACCTCTTTTATCTGTGGGGACCTCTCAAATGTCTAGAGAACCTGAAAACCTCCATCTTAAAAAAAAACAAGTTAAAAAGTATCAGTCGGTTTTGCCGACAGATGTATACCTGGGGAGAGGTGACGGAGGAAATGGCCAGATATATACAATCTTTATAACAGATCATGTTTTCATGGAAATACTGAGATGTGCCAAGTCTGAATAGAATCGGATGTTAATTTGAAGAGAATTAGATGCTTATTTCGGATTTTATAATTGTTTTGGTTATTCGAAACTTCGACCCTTCGCGGGCGAGGTACCAGTAGGAATGCTCCGATCTTTACCATCGTTATAGCAGATCTTGTGTTGATAGAAATTTTGGGACGTGCCAAGAATGAATGGAAATGGATATTAATTTCACGTTTTATGGGCTTCATGAATATTCAATTTATTTTTGTGTGGCAGGTACCAGAAGGAGTGGACCGATATATCCCATCTTCACAACAGATCTTAATTTGGAGAAATAGTGGAATGTGCGAAATATGAAGAGAACCGGATGCTTATCAGGGATTCTATGATCGTTTTGGTGTTTCAAAAATTTGACCCTTTGTGGGAGAGGTACCAGAAGGAATGGTCCGATCTCTACCATCTTTATAACAGATCTTTTGCTGATAGGAATATTGAAATGCGCCAAGTCTGAATAAGATGCTAGTTTCGCGTTTTATGAGCTTCATGGATATTCAAAATTTTGAACATTTGTGGGGGATGTACCAGAAGGAGTGGATCGATATTTTCCATATCCACACCAGACCTTGGGTTAAAAAAAATATTGGGATGTGTGTAATTTGAAGATAATCGAACTCTTACATCGCATTTTATAAGAGGTCAAAATGTTGACCCTTTGTGGGGGAGGTACTAGATGGAGTGGACGGATATTGTCAATTTTCGCACCCGACCTAGCACTGACACAAATATTAGGATATTCAAAGTCGGAGAAAAATCGGATTATACTTTCTCTTTCTGTGCAGTAAAATATATGTTTTTGAAAATTTCGAACAGAAGGAGTGGACCGATATTGCCCATCTCCTAACTTGTTATAAGTTTAATAATAATATCACGATGTATCAGTTTGGACCACTCCCTCTGAGAATTATTGTGAGCACCAGCCAGACAGACGAACGGTCATCGCTAGATCGACTCCAAAGGTCCTGAAACGGATTTGGCCCAAAGAGACCTAGGGTCTAAAACCGATATATAAATGATATATACCCTCTCTAGCCATATGGCTGAGGGTATAAAAAAACATCCATCTAAAGAAGGTTGTTAAGATCATATACCCAGAGAAGAATTCAAAGAATATTCTGTAGAGGACCCCAGGGACCTTTACATTTAGTGGATTTAAAAGAAAGGCCTGCCATCTACGACGTTCTCCCAAAAGTCTCTTATATAGCGAATAACTCAAAAATTATAGATGAACTAAAACCGGATCTCTAATAGGCCTTTCATCCGTAGAAAGGCTCAAAAACACATTTCAATCAGCAGAAGAACTCAAGACGGTCTTCTCTCTGAAGGCGATTTGAAAGAGCTTAAAACCAAAAAAAAAAAAAAAACTTCTTGTTTTGAAATTCTCAAAAAAATTCTGTTATCTGAAAGGGGTTGAAAATGGGGTCTTCTATATGTGGAGGATTTAAGGAACTATCTGTATTTCGAGTAGGAAGTCGTAGAAAAAAATGTTCTTAAAAATCGGCATAAGGATTTTGTGTAAAGACGTTATGAGGTCCTTTTAGATATGCTTCATAGAAAATTCAAGATTTTTCAGGTCCCATGCTTCTTCCGCATTTGACCAGTTTTGGTGGAGATATCAGAAGGAGCGCACCGATATCTCCATTTACGAAGCCACAAGCCATTGCCGCAAAGTTTACAAAAACAAAAAAAAAAACAACAAGCTGCCAGTCTAGTTATATACCGAAATGTGAATCTATACAGTCAATTTTCAATACCAATTGAAATTTGATTTTTTTCCCACCTATTTCACTCCGTTCGGAGTCTAGACCTCGAAAGGTCTCGAAGACCTTGTAAAGGTCTTCTATTTGTAGAATATACTTTGGGACCCCAAAAATTTTTTCAATCTATAGACGACCCGTTTTCCTTTTCTATTCTTAGACTATTTCAAAACGTTTTTCTGTTACTAAAGTCCTCAAATAGTCCTTCAACAGAGGGCTCCAGAAAGAATTCTATTGAAAGAAGGCGTTAAATATATTTTCTATCCCTAAAAAGCCTCGAGAGGGACGCCTAGCAGGTATTCAATAAAGATCTGCACATGTTAGAAGAAGAAGGTCTTCTATACATAAGAGACCTCCAGAGCTGTAGATGATGTCGTTGCTGTAGCAGGACCATATACGGTAGACCTTTTGACTTTATATCAGTGGGAAACTATATTTATGGATTGTCATTAGAATTTATTTATCTCCAGGAGATTCAGTATTTAAAGAATACTCTTTTAAGATCTTCTACCCCCAGAAAACCTTCTGGGGATACATTTTCATAAGATCTGCAGCCATAAAATGCGTTATATTCAAGGAATAAAACAACTTTTTTTGCTTTTTATTAAATCATTTATTCGTTAAGAAACGACAGAGTTACATACAACCCTTCCGCCCATTCTTACTGCTTCAACAAACTATCCATGGCATTGTTGATGAATTCGCGCAAATTGTAGACATCAGCGTAGACACCAGGAGCACCCGAAGCACAACCAGCACCAAATGATACAATACCACAAAGTTCACCGAACAAAATAGCTGGGCCGCCAGAATCACCTTGGCAAGAGTCCTTGCTGCCACCGTTGGCACAGAACATGTAGCTGGTGATGGGGATGCCATAGTAGCGTTGACACGTTTGACGGTTAATAGTGGGAACACGAATTGTAAGCAAATCATGAGAACCAACACCCTTGAACGAGGTGTGACCCCAGCCGGAAACTTGAATCAAATCACCTTGCTCTGGTGGAGCGGAGCACAATGGTACGGTCTTGATGAATTTTCCCACCATAGGACTTTCCAGCTTCAGGATGGCAACATCGGTGTTCAGGGTTTGTTTGTTGTAGGTACCCGATTTGATCATGGACACAACACGGCGTTGGACACCTTCATCGGTTCTGGTATTGGCACCGCCAACAATCTTCAAATGAGCCATCAATTCAGGGGTAAGATCATCGAAACAATGGGCGGCAGTGACCACAATTTCAGGATGAACCAAGGTACCACCACAGAAGGGTTGACTGCCAATTCTCAGCTGGACGATGTAGGGAGCCTGGCTCACATGGATGACATCGCCATCGACAATGCGGGTATTGTCGAGGTCGGCATTGCCACCAGTGAATAGGGCGGCCATAAGGCCCAGAGCCAAACAAATCGGAGAGTACATTGTATTCGATGCTTCAGGAAAGTCTTTGAATGTGGTCTACAGAAATTGCATAGGCTTTTATATGCTATTTTCAAATTGGTTGGTACTCGCAATTCTTTTGTATTGGATTTAGATTCAAAGTCTGTTTCGAAAAATATTTAATCTATGCATTTGCCATCAAAATATATACTGAGCAAATAGTGCCAAAATAATTGCGATTCAATTGTTTTAAGACGCTATACATTTCAGAAGTTTAGATTATGTTTTTATTGTTGCTATCTATGATGGTCTTGGGAAATACCAAAAATTGTTGGCTAATAGAATAATGAATTCACGTAACAAATATCTGTTAAATTATGATGTTATTAAAAGAGTGAAGTATCAAGATGTTTTGCGACATATTTACATAGTCTGCAATGTCTAAACATTTTTTTTTAAATAAATCGCGTAAATTGGTAGCCATTTGCCATATATGTTCTGTCAAAATAAAATTGTAATTTTTTTCTACTACTTTCGAAACATTTTTTATTCTACTCCATTTACTTGGTATACCCTCCACCTTGGAAAGAAGGGTATATTAACTTTGTCATTCCGTTTGTAACATCCTTAAATATTCGTCGTAGACCCCATAAAGTATATACATTCATAATCAGCATAAAATTCTAAGTCGATTTAAAGATGCCCTTCTGTCTGTCTGTCCGTCTGTCTATCCGTCTGTCTGTTGAAATCACGAAACAGCCCACATTATTTGACGTAGAGCGTTAAAATTTAGCAGAACAATTTGTATTGTGTCTAGGTTGGTTGGTATTGAAAATGAGATATATCGGTCCACGTAACGGTACCTCCCGATATTCGGTACTTTCATGATTTATGCCACATTTTTTCACGGATTTGTTTGAAAATTGGTATTTCTAGGTCGTAACGGGTCCCTGTGCGTGTGGCAAAACATTGCATGTATAGGTCCACGTTTTGATATAGCCGCCATATAACGGTACCTCCCGATATTCGGTATTTTGATGATTTTTGACACATTTTTTCATGGATTTGTCTGAAAATTGGTATTTCTAGGTCATAATGGGTCCTAGTTCGTGTGGCGAAACATTGTAATTAAAGTTCTACGATTTGGTATAACCTCAATATAACGGTACCTCCCGATATTCGGCATTTTAATGGTTTTTGCCACATTTCTTCGCGGTTTTGTCTAGAAATTGGTATTTGTAGGTCATAATGGGTCCTAGTTCGTGTGGCGAAACATTGCATGTATGGGTCCATGATTTGGTATAGCCCCCATATAACGGTACCTCCTGATATTCGGTATTTTGATGATTTATGCCACATTTTTTCACGGATTCGTCTGAAAATTGGTATTTGTAGGTCATAACGGTTCCCTGTGTGTGTGGCAAAACATTGCATGTATAGGTCCACGTTTTGGTATAGCCGACATATAAAGGTACCTCCCGATATTCGGTATTTTGGTGATTTTTGACACATTTTTTCACATTAATTATAGTTCTACAATGTGGTATAACCTCCCTATAACGGTACCTCCCGATATTCGGTATTTTAATTTTTTTTGCAACATTTTTTCACTGATTTGTTTAAAAATTGGTATTTGTGGGTCATAATGGTCCTAGTGCGTGTGGCGAAACATTGTAATTATAGTTCTACGAATTGGTATAGCCCCCATATAACGGTACCTCCCGATATTCGGCATTTTAATGGTTTTTCCACATTTCTTCGCGGATTTGTCTAGAAATTGGTATTTGTTGGTCTTAATGGGTTCTAGCTCTTTTGGCGAAACACTGTATGTATAGCTCCACGTTTTTGCCCCATATAGTATTGCCGATATTCGGTATTTTGACGATTTTTGGTACATTTCCCCATGAATATGTCTAAAAATTGGTATATGTGGGTTAAATGGGCTCTAATGTTTCCTTTACCCTATGGTGGACGGTATTAAAAGTTTGGCCCGGCCGAACTTAATGTTTTTTTACTTGTTTTACTTCTAGGATGTTTAGAATTTAAGCCAAACTCAGTCGGTCCATGTATAGTACAGCTCCTTTTTGGTCATAATTTGATAGAGACTATAAATTGAGCTAAATGGGTAAAGTTTGGTACAAATGACTCTTCTGTCTCCTGGTAGGACGATTTTAAGTTTTATGCAATATTAATGCCTCAAAAAAAAGTAAACTAAATGATGGATGCATATTCTTTCTAACCATGTGCGACCAACGGTAGAAAAAATATACTACGGGAATTTTTGCCATTAAAACTGTTCTTCCAGAGCCCACAAGTTCTTGGCATGGTTGCCAAAAAAAAAAAAAAAAAAACTGGAAAATCTACCATTTTTGGTCATAGATTCTCAAAATAAGCTATGTCTCTGAATAAATTTTGTCTCATTGTTGAAACAAGTTAAAAATTATTGGTCAGTTTGCCGACAGATATATACATTCAGCATTTGAAGTTTTTATACCCTACACTAAAAGGTGGTCAGGTGGTGGTTTTTGTACATTTGTTTGTAACAGGCAAAAAGAAACGAGATAGACCCATAGTTTCTTTTGATTATCTGCATATAATCACACTCTGAGTCGATTTATGCATATCCGTCCGTCTGTCCATGTATTTTTGTAAACAAACTACAGGTCACATGCTAAGAATCGGTTCAAATTTATATGTAGCTCCCATATATAGTTTCAACCGATTTTGTGTTAATTGTACACAAATGATCAATATCCGTCGAAATCAACTTGAATTTTGCCACATCCGACCGAATTCAGTCTAGAAGCAAGTGAATCAAATTTGCTGAAAATCGATTCAGATATATCGATATGTCCCATAGATACATCTCATCAGATTTGGTGTTTAAGTCCCTCACATTCGTAATATGCACTCGACAAGAATGATATATGGTACCGGCGATCAGATACTGCTCGAAAATACGTCTATCAAATATTATCGATTTTGATATAGCTCCTATATATATCCCTAATCCGATTTCAGGATTATTGTGCAAATAATGGGACGTACGTTTCCATTTTGTGGAACTCCGAGCACCGATATATATTTTAATATAATCCTTCTCCGAAGTGATATCATGCACTCTATAGCAAGGATATTTGATATAAAAGATTAAAATGTATCCGTCAAAATTAGTGAAAATCGATTCAGAATTGGATATACCTCCCATATATTTTCGGGGAATTTAGGGTGGAATTGTTCCAGAATGGCTTGTCAAATGGAAAAATTTGAAACTCTTAGTGTATAACTCAGAAAATGAGCGAAAAATTTGCATGTCATCGCATGCCGTAAGTATTACGCTTATAACTAAGGAACGGCTAGACTGATTATGATGATAGCGCTGGCGTTACGAATTCAAACTTACAACTCATTTCATTGATTCAGAAATTTCTACCGATATCGGCATTAAGTTCTGCCTTGTCGAACTTTTAATAAACTCCGCCAAAATATTCAATGTTGTACCACCGGAGCTAGAACATACAGATCTATAAATACCAATTTTTGGACAAATCTGTGGAAATGTGGCAAAAATTATTAAAATACTGAATAGCCGGAGGTACCATTATGTGGGGGATATACAAAAAAGTAGACCCATACATACAATATTTTGACACCGGAGCTAGAACTAATTATGACCTACAAATACCAATTTTTAGACAAATTCGTGAAAAAATGTAGCGAAAATCATCAAATTACCGAATATCGGGAGGTACCGTTATAAAGGGGGCCTATATCAAAACGTGGACCTATACGTTCCGACATCATCAAAATACAGAATTTCAGGATGTACCGTTAAAACACTAAAACATGGACCGACATATTTTATTTTCAATACCAACCAATACAAATTGTTCTGCCAATTTGGGGCTCTATGTCAAATAATGTGATCACGAATACTTTATACTTTATGGGACATCCCAATATTTCTCGGCCCACTTCATCTGACCCCTCCCGCATCGAAAAGAGCTAGAATTCTGACATTTAAAATGAGTGTCGCTTTTTGTTTTGAAATTCGAACAATAAGTACTAAAAATAACTATTAGAATTTAAAAACCAGTAAAGAAAGTCCTAAAATCGGGCGGGGCCGATTTTATGATACCCTACACCACTTTGCTAATTCAGTTGAGCTCCACATAACAATTAACAGTTTTTATGGGAGAATTCAATCATACACCCTATGATTATAATTATAATTTAGAGTTCAAAGGACTAAACACGCCGAAGCATTTGTATCTTTTAAATTCGGACTTGTATTGCCTATTCGGTGCAAAATTAATTTGAAATCAGATAAAGATATATATGGGAGCTATATCCAAATCTGAATCGATCTCGATAAAATTTAGCAAAGGTATTTCTGAGCTGTATTTGATATATTTCCCTGAATATCGTTGTTACGATAGAGTGCATATTACGGCTGTGGGTAACAAATACAACAAATCGGATGAACAATATATATGGGAGTTATAGCTATATCTGAACCGAACTTCACCAAATTTGGCGTACTAGCTTCTAGACTCAATTCGGTCATATGTGCCACATTCCATCCCATTTGGGCAAATATTAGACGTTTGGTGCACAATAAAAGGTAAATCGTACGAAGTTATATATGGGAGCTATATCCAAATCTGAACCGATCTCGATAAAATTTAGCAAAGGCATTTCTGAGCTGTATTTGATAAGGCACTAAAAAGTAGGGAAAATACTAAATGGTAGTAAATTTAGAATATGAAGAAATTGAGTTGGAAATCTCAAATGTGGTATTAGGGTTTAAAACAGGTTAAAAAGTATTGGTCGGTTTTGTCAGCATATGTATACCCTCAGCCAATTTGTATGTATATAAATATATTTTGACGTGCTTTATGATTATTCAAACTGTTGACCATTTATAGTGAAGTTGGTCAATATTGCCCATTTCGTATCTGGCCAAAGTACAAGCTACCAGATTTTAAAAATTTTAAGAACAGAACATCGAACACTTATTCTATGGTAATTATTGTTAGTCAATAGTTTAACCAACAACCAAAAAATATTCCAGTGGATTT